TGTATGTACACTACTATTCAAATGTTTAGGGTAAGTTTGTTTGTTTAAGAAATTATTACTTTTATTCAGCAGCATTATAGATAAATTGATGGAAAGTAAAACCTTGCATTGTTACAAAACTATATATATTTCAAATAAATGCTGTTCTTTAGAGCTTTTTTTATTCCTTATATAAAAAAATATTACAGTTTCCACAAAAATATTCCACAAAAAAGCAAAATACAGTAACTGTTTTTGACATTAATAATAATAAGAAATGTTTTCTGAGCAGAAAATCAGCATATTATAATGATTTCTGGAGGATCATGTGACACTGAAAACTGGAGTAATGATGCTGAAAATTCAGCTTGGATCACAGGAATAAATTACATTTTAAAATATATTAAAATATAAAACAATTATTGTAAAACGAATTGTTGAATAAAGTAGTTATTTTTGTTTTCTTTGCATACAAAAAGTACTCTTGTCGCTTCATAACGTTACGGTTGAACCACTGATGGCAGATGGACTATTCTGACGATGTCTTTTATACTTTTCTGGACCTTGACAGTGTAATTTACTTGGCAGTCAATGGGACAGTCACAAGCCTCCCGGTTTTCATCCAAAATATCTTAAATTGTGTTTCCGAAGACGAATTAAGCTTTTAGGGGTTTGGAACGACATGTGGGTAAGTTAATGATTAATGACAACATTTTCATTTTGGGGTGGAGTATCCCTTTAACTATCATTGTATTGCATAAAAATTCTTTAAATATTTCTACTTTTGTGTTATACAGAAAGAGCATGCAGGTTTGGAATGCCATGAATGTGAGAAATTACAACACTGAACTTTGCCTTTAATGTTCTTTATGTCGACTAACTTGGTCACCTAGAATTTAGTCACCTAGAAAAAGCAGCAATAACGAAAGGACACACTCTCTCTCTTTTTGTAAATCTGTGGGTGCGTGTGTATTTCTGGAGCTCATGATGGCCCAGAGCCGTGTAGCTGATTGCCTGTTTTGTGGGAGAATGGGCTTTTATAAGCTGGAGGGTCTGCACTTACCTCTGATTACCACTAAGCCCTTGTATTCCCAAGAGCTCGTAGATGAGGCACTCTAGTGAGTCAAGGTTAGCCTTGAGTCATATACAGTCACCAGATCTCATCGTCATGTAGCAGAACCATCCGGCTGAGTCCAAAAAGAGACTCTTCATTTATCACGAGGAGTGTGAATGTGTTACTTAAAGCACTTTTTATTCTCCACTGTTGTTTTTCATGCTCAGGCTGACTTTGAGATCTCTGCACGGATGTTCAGAATTAAACCTGTCCGAATTGCAGTAATTCATGTTCTTGAAAATCAGCAGCTTGTACTTGAAGAGTCCTAAGCTCGTGATTACTCGTAATCATGCAATCTTGTGTTTCATTGTGATCATAAAGCCTAAAACTGGACTGAAAATGTCCCACACTTCACCTGTTTCTCGTCTCCGTGCCACTCTTCCTCTGTGGGATCCTGATCATGATATGCGTCCTCCTGTTTTTAGCCAGATTTGATACTTCAATTCTTTTTTGATGCTTCAAATCTTATGCTGTAACTTTTCAAAGTAATCAGAGTTCTGGTTTTATTATTATGTGTGTTTTTAATTATGCTTTTAAAAAAAATTTAAAGTCTCTTTTGCTTACCAAGGCTGTATTTATTTGGTCAAAATTAAAGTAAAACAGTAATATTGTAAAATATTGTTACAATTTAAAATAATGTTTTCTCTTTTAATATATTTTAAAATATAATTTATTCCTGTGATGGCAAAGCTGAATTTTCAGCAGCCATTACTCCAGTGTTCAGTGTCACATGATTTTTCAGAATCATTCTAATACTCTGATTTGCTGCTCAATAAACATTTCTTATTATTGTCAATGTAGAAAACAGTTTTTGCTGCTTAAAATTTTTGTGGAACCAGTGATATAATACTACTTAAAAGTTTGAGGTAAGTAAGGATTTAAAAAAACAATAATAATACTTTTATTTAGCAAGGAAAGACTAAATTGATCAAAAGTGACAGTAAATAAATTTATAATTGTAGAAATAGTAATAGCAATATATATATATTGAGATACATATTATAGCTATAAATATATTGAAATATTCTATATATACAGTATGTTGAAGCAGCAGGATATCCATTTATTTTACTTCGGGTGTAATGAAGAGGTCCATTGTTGGAATATTGGATATTAAATGAACAACAAGAGATGATATCACTGATCAATCATTTTACCAGGTTTTTATTATTCAGTAAATATCATGTTTTTCCCACAGTTCACTGTTCAGAGAAATCTCACATCTCATTGGACTGCCCCCATATTGTCAGCTCACGCAAGACAGACGATTTTGCCTGCGGGTACAAGATAAGGAGACACCAATTAACTGGAAGCTTATTGGTGATAAAACTGAGCCCTTCTGCAGTATGCTTCATGTAGAAAATAATGTCTGTGTTTCTCCTTCGGAGACCATTTGGAATTAGCGGAAAGAATTGAACAGCCTTAGATTAATTTCATTAGCTGTGTGCTTCTGTGATAGAATAATAGGGTGCCAGAAGGAGAAGGACTCTTCAGCATTTCAAAGGTCAAAATATTGGAGCGCTTGGATGATTAAAGTGGCAGCGTGAAATCTGGAAAATACTCTGTTGCAAACTAGTTTCTTGTTCTTCTTGAAATCGGTTGGCTACTTCACAGACATATCTTGTAGGCTTGTGTTCATACACCAGTTTTATCATTAATACAGATGTCCACATAATAGCATTTCATGTTTTGTTCTCATTTAAATGTAAAAATTCTCTGGAGCTGCAAAACAACAACAAAATGAAAAATGTAGACACTTATAATCTTTGCTAGTGGGCTTCCCTGAAGCCATTCACATTTTTCCAATGCAGAACTAAACGTGCATGGTAGGTGATTCTAGACCTTAGATCTCCTTAAGTGCAAACAACAAATATATAATGCCCTATTTTGACATGGCAGTACCATTATTTCTTTTGTTGAGATCAAGGTAATGCGAGGAGTTCTACAGTCCCTTCATTGGCCTTTTGCAGGTCTGTGGAAGGAACTTGTCAGAGCAACATTGAAAAAAAATCATACATAGGCCCTGCCTACAAGTGATGACATCATGAATGAGCTATTATATTGAGTGTTAATTGTATGGTGGAGATTTAGTCTTCTCTTTCTTTTTATTTCTTATATTTTAAGATTTCTAGCATATAACAAAACATCACAATGTGTGTTTATACCTCCCAGTGTGGCTTAATATCTCATAATGTGGCATCATGTCTCACAGTGGGACTTTGTATCTCAAAGTGTGGCTTAATATATCATAATGTGGCATAATGTCTCACAGTGGGACTTTATATCTCAAAGTGTGGCTTAATATCTCATAATGTGGCATCATGTCTCACAGTGGGACTTTGTATCTCAAAGTGTGGCTTAATATATCATAATGTGGCATAATGTCTCACAGTGGGACTTTATATCTCAAAGTGTGGCTTAATATCTCATAATGTGGCATCATGTCTCACAGTGGGACTTTGTATCTCAAAGTGTGGCTTAATATATCATAATGTGGCATAATGTCTCACAGTGGGACTTTATATCTCAAAGTGTGGCTTAATATCTCATAATGTGGCATCATGTCTCACAGTGGGACTTTGTACCTCAAAGTGTAGCTTAATATCTCATAATGTGGCATCATGTCTCACAGTTGGACTTTATATCGCAAAGTGGCTTAATATCTCATAATGTCACTTACTATCTCACAATGGGACTTTATTTCATAAAATGGCTTTTTATCTCACAATGTGACTATATCTCAATATTGAAATGTATATATCACAATTTAAATGTATATTTTTGTGGATTCATATCTCATAATATGTCTTTGTCTGGTAATGTGACTATATCTCACAGAGTGACTTAAATAATATACATCCCAATGTATATCCAGCCAGTTGTTAATCGCAGAATAAAGTTTTTCACTGAGCTATGTAATAATATCTCAGAATGTGGCTTCATATCTCACAGTATGACTTTATATCTCATAATGTGACTATTTCCCACAGTGTGGCTTACTATCTCATAATGGGGCTTTAAATCTCACCGTTTGAATTTATATCTCATAATGAGGCTTAATATCTCATAATGGAACTTTTTATCTCACCGTGTGACTATATCTCACAATATGAATTTATTTATTTATTTTTTTACTTAATCTTAACATTTAACCTTGACTTAATCTCATGTACAGTAAGTCTTGATTCCTGTCCACTGTGCACGTTGATCAGTGACGTTGTTTCCGGTGGTTGTAATTCCAGGGTAGTCCTCCTTTGTATGACATGAAAAGTCTGTGTAAACAAACATAATATTTGCCGCTTTGATGTGGCTTCTATGTGGACTATAACCTCTCTAGGCAAATTTAACCTTAATATAATTATTGGCTCATAACGCCATGAGGGGTGTCCCATACACCACTGGGTGAGGAAAGAGCACTCAACATCCTGTAGCGATCATTGGGCTTAATATCTCTTAGTGTGTTACGGCACAAATTTGTCTCAAGTTTCACCGACACAAACACATAAACTCAAGAATCATTTTGTTTCTCCCACTGGTCAAGTTCTTTTTCTGTGCTGTTGAGTGTTGCCAAGTCAATTTAAATTACACATCCCCTGCTGTTCTTCTAATGTCAGCGTTTTCTCACTTTCTCATATTTTCTTCCCTTTGTTCAAGTAGCATGAGTCATATATCCACGCTGCAGTCAGGATAACACCCCCTCCATAGAAATCCAGCGATGCTTAAACCGACACATCTGACACTCTTGAATTGTTGCAGCTCCTGCATTATTATACTCTAGATTAAGAATAAATTGTAGCACAATAGTCATACTGACTGTGAAAAATGTCATCCTGACTATCATAATTATTTTAGCGCTAATCACCATATTCTCATATGCTCTCTCTGTCAATCTTTTGTCTTTGTGTAGGTAAGTATGCCATGCGGGACCTCGTGCACCGGCTCCCGGGTGGGAGCAATGCTAGTGGAAGCAGCGGGGGTACAGCAAACAGCACAGCGGGTAAAACCATGTGTGATGACACCGTTACGGCTGTATGTTGTGCCCTACACGAGGTCATCACCAAGAACATGGAGAATGCCAAGGCCTTACGAGACGCAGGTGGCATTCAGAAGCTCATCGGTATTGCTAGGAGTAAAGGAGACAAGTAAGTTGTCTTTTTTATAATAAGCTTCACTAACTACTAAAATGGCCTGCAGTGTGCGCTAACCACTAGGCCGTGGTTTTGTTTTTGCTCGTGTTTTCATGGACCCTGAGGCCAGCCAGTTATTTTGTTCACCAGAATCTGTGCATTGCTCTTGGAGACATTTTATTTTCCAGCTACACGGTTCTACTTTTATTCCAGCACCTTTTAAAAGAGGTGCACAGTATGAGTCAGACCTCAATAAGCATTTTATGAGCTTCAAGGCCATGTGTTCGGCTACATCATATATACAGTGGTGTGAAAAAGTGTTGGCCCCCTTCCTGTTTTTTTTATTTTTTGCATATTTGTCACACTTCAAAGATTCAGATCATCAAACAAATTTTAATATTACACAAAGATAATGCAAGTAAATACAAAATGCAGTTTTTAAATGATTATTTATTTTATTAAGGGAAAAAAGCTGTCCAAACCTGCCTGGCCCTATGTGAAAAAGTAATTGTCCCCTAAATCTAATAACTGGTTGTGCCACGCTTTGCAGCAACAACTGCAATCAAGTGTTTGCGATAACTGGCAATGAGTCTTTCACATCGCTGTGGAGGAATTTTGGCCCACCCTTCTTTGCAGAATTGTTTTAATTCAGCCACATTGGAGGGTTTTCGAGCATGAATGGACTGTTTAAGCATCTCAATCGGATTTAAGTCTGGACTTTGACTTGGCCACTCCAAAACCTTCATTTACATCCGCTTATTCAGTGCCTGCTGAACTGTAATGAAGAAAACTTGGAGGAAGAACACGTCCACTTTTGCCAAAAGAGCTGATATTTGATTTGATGCATCCTTGAGAATAAAGCTAAATATCACAAGTCTGTATGTAACAATATCACAAGTCTGTATGGAACAGTTTAGTGTTATCTGCCATGACAATGCGGAAGAAAACTCCCTTAACTTAGGTAAAAACCAGTGTAACACAGTCTTGACACTGGCTTATTGGTTTTTTGAATCATGAGAAGATATACAGAGTGGTCCAGATGAGATTGAAAATGCTGTGATTTAAACCTGAAAGTGAACAAAATTTTATTTGTATTTTATTTTTTATTGTTTTGTTTTGTTTTATTACTTTACTTTATTATTTTATTTTATTTTATTTTATTTTGAGAATAATAAGTGTGCACAAACACACAAGGAATTTTATTGTCTGCATAGAGGTTCTGGAAACCACAACAAATTCCTTGAGTTTGTGTTTGTGTATTAGCCAAATACAGCTAATTTCTCATTCTGATATAAAATAAAATGTAATCATTTTGTTTTGTTTTATTTTGTTGTTTGATAACCTCTTAGCAGGATTATAGCATAATTAAAAAATGCATAAAAAATGGGTAATACTTTAGTATAGGGACCAATTCTCACTATTAACTAGTTGCTTATTAGCATGCCTATTATTAACATATTGGCTGTTTATTAGTACTTATAAAGCAGATATTCTACATGACCATATTCTACATCCCTAATCTTACCCAATACCTAAACTTAACCACTACCTTACTATTAATAAGCAGCAAATTAGGAGATTTTGAAGCAAAAATCATAGTTAAGGTTTTGTTAATAGAGAGAATTGGACCTTAAAATAAAGTATGACCAAAAAATGTAATATTATTTTATATTTATTATATTATTTATTTGTTTTTAATTTTTTATTGTGCCCCCTATGTATAGATTTAGCGTATTAATATTGATGTATTCAGTTGCAATACATGGCATGTTATTAACCACATGTAAACCACATGTGACGACCCCGGGCTGGACTCCGCTTCGTCCACAGTGAAAGCCGATCTGGCGATCGGCGGCGCGAAGTTTAAGTATTTCCTCAGCGACCAGCACGGATCAGCTCTAGGCATGACGAAGCGGATATCGTTCTCTTTTGGAAGGCCAAACAAAGTAGTTTCGCTTTCACAACGAAGCACACAGTGCCTTCACGACATGGTGGCGGTGGCAGCGGCAACAACAATACTACAGGGAGAATAAAAGTTACGCCTTCTTTCTTTGCGTGAACATTTGGGCGGCGTTATGCAAATCTTCCCACATCGTGACGTAGACATGTGGGGGCATGTTAAAACGAGCCGTTTTAGGTAGGTGTGGCTGACTCTTACATTTTATAAAGAATATCTCTTTGGATTTGAGACTTTAGTCTTTGCAACTTTACAGATCTTCTTTATGCACCAAGAGCTTGTAACACTCCAAAGAGAAAGGAAAAATTGAAATCGCATCATATGACCCCTTTAAAAATAAACAAATTTTCTGCTTTTATATATGCATTAAAATCTACTGTGATTTTAAACTTCTGTCCTGACATACTACTCATTTGGCACACAACTTTTCACTTACTTTATAGTTTCCATTTGTGAAATCTACACTGAGCCTGAGTCAACTGAAGATCTGAGCGTGTTGAAATCCATTTTGAAAGATGAGGGGAAGGATCAATCAAACACACAGCTCCACCTCTAAGAATCCATTTTGTCATTTATGAGAGGAAATGATGAAGGATGAGCGGCATTAATTTCCTCTGTTAAAGCCATGTTCAAAGATTTTCCTCTAACTTCATTTCAAGTGGCAATTGTAAATTGTTCCATTGTGTCCTTTGAGCAGAAATGGATGGACTCGGCTCGGCGGAAGACAAAAGGCACAGCTGTTCTATCAAATCAGCTGAAGTCAAACAATTTGTGTCATTTTTGAGAACCAAGGGATTGTTTCTTTTGTTTGTGGTGCATTGTTAATCATAACAAAAGCTGCTGTCCGTGTGAGATGTTTGCACAGAAAGCAGAGAAAACATCAAATGCTTCCGTAGGAACAATCATCTGAGCAACAATGTACCAGGATTGGAATTTCATTTTCCTCCGTTATGTTTGGTATTGGCATTTTGATCTTAGAGTTCGAATATTTTGTAAACTTTTTACAATTAAAATGTGTTATTTTAGAGTTGTCACTGTTATACTGATGTGCTGCATATAGATATACTGGAGAATTGGGTTTAACTTGGTGTGTGTGTGTTCGGTTCAACACGCAATGTATCCAAAAATTATTTTTCTGTGATGTCATCCATCAAAACATCAAAAGTACACTACTATTCAGAAGTTTTGGGTTGGTAAGACTTTTTCTTCTCATATGCCTACCAAGGCTTACTTTTATCAAAAATACAGTAAAGCAGTTTAAAACAAAACGATTTAAAATCACTTTTTCTATTTGAATATATTTTAAAATGTAATTTATTGCTGATGGCAAAGCTGAATTGTCAGCAACATTACTCCAGTCTTCCGTGTCACACGATCCTTCAGAAATCATTCTAATATGCTGATTTGCTGCTCAAGAAACATTTCTTTTTATCACTGTTGAAAACAATTGTGCTGCTTAATATTTTTGTAAAAACTGTGATGCTGTTTTTTTACAGGATTTTTTTGATGATTATAAGTAAATAAAAGTAAAATAAACTTCTGGAAAAAAATCTTACTGACCTCAAACTTTTGAATGGTAGTGTAATTTTAGTTAAAGATTTCTTTTGTAATAAATTTTCATTTTTTATTACTCTCATTATTTGTATGTTGTTTAATAATATTCCTTTAAATAAATACATAACATATTAAGAAAATAAATAATAATATACATATTTAATATACAACAATTTCTTATAATTATTTAATAAAATAATTTACTTATTTAAAAAAAAAATCTTCCAGTAATATGCTTTTAAAATGTTGTCAGATTTTAACTGATAATAATAATTGACTGTTGAGACGCATGTCCATTTATTACTGTTGACTCAACTTGTTTGTTTTCTTCTCTCTCTCTCTTACAGACACTCACCTAAAGTGGTAAAGGCAGCATCTCAGGTTCTCAGTAGCATGTGGCAGTACAGAGATCTCCGGAGCCTTTATAAGAAGGTAGGAGACCTGCTTCCACTCACAACAGCTGTGTCCCACTTCTTCCGTCCCAACATGAGGAATTCATTTAGCATGCTAACTTATCTCCCACTCCCACACGATTGTGTTTGAACTTGTAGAGAAAATAGTTTAGAATGAAACAAACTGGAGAAGTGTTTTTGTATCCCTCCTCTCCGACAAAGATGTGCGACCCACTATTTATTCAACACGACACCTTGTAGCCGACTGAAAACAAGAATCCGTAGTGACTAGCAATGAATGCTCTATTGAGCAGTAACGGCCAGGCTGAAGAGATATTTCCATTCAATAAGTGCTTGTTGCTCTTACTATTGTGTGTATCCATTCAGATGTCTCCTTTGCAGATTATTGAGGCAAACTTTGGCCTTGGCGAGCGCTGACGGCATTCAGAACGTATTGTGTGGTCTGAACAGCATGGTGAATAGACTGATGTGAGGAGACCTTGTATGAATGTTGCCATATTTCAGCAATTAAAAGCAGATTTATTTTCATTTCCAAACCAAACTATTTAAACTGGCGTTTGGGGTCTTTGAATAGACAATGTGCTCATGAAATTTAATTTAATAGGAATTAACCTATTTACATGTAGCCAGACCTCTCGTGCTGCATTCAAACACAGATAAGGGGCAGCCAAAGTAGTGTTAAACATTAACAAGGTCACACCAAGCCAAAATGTTCCCAAATGAACTACTAATAAGAGCATGAGAAGAGAAATTTTGGGTTGTGACAGACCACCGTCCCCCACAAGCGCTAGAAGCCTCTAGGCTGAGAGAACACACCGTTCCCCTTCGCTGAGCAATCTCCGTCCTGACAGATACGACGCTGAGTGGTGAGGAACGTCCCGGACTGAGCTCTATAATGTGTTGTTTTGCCCACTTGGCGCTGCGGAGAAGGCGTTGAAGAATTACAACCCACGGAGATGGCGACGGATGCCACACTGACCTTTAGAGATGAGAAAAGGCCAAGAGCCGACTGCCTGCACTGCCGAGATGAGTTTAGAAGTGTGTCTGAGGAAATAGAGGTGCCCCCTCCCCGAACTGCATCGGAGAGCGAATTCACAATGCCTGTTTGAAAATGTCTGTAATGATATGTAATTATGGATGTTTGCGAGTTTACCCTGCTGAGCTTGTCGCCGTCAAAACCAATGTCGAATTACGAGCTCTAATTTCATGTGCACATACTATTAATTACCCTCTCTGTCTTTTTTCAATATTTAGAGGGTTCGACGAAAAGGTACCATGTGTAGATTATAATGAAAGAGAGTAATTAGATGGAACGCCGATTCCCATTATGCTAGCTGACTAAATATCTATAAATAATATCAAAGCACTCACAGGTTCACAGTGGCGTTGTGTTCGCATGCCGCCTTGAGGCAGGTTATCGAACAGCTGCTTTAGCTGACGTAGATAAAGTGACAAGGTCAAGGACGTGGAGGACATCCGGAGCTATAAATGCATCATCAGAGAGGTTGTTAAATCTACACTAATACTTATTATAAACAGTTCTGATTGATTTTCAAGGGATAGAGCTCTGTGGATCCCTCTCACACTTGTTCCAGCCCCCTCCAGGCTGGGTTTGCAAAGATTTTTAAAACCTCCCACAACCTAACCTGTTTCCTCCAGCCCAGCTGAGCTCTGGAAATGTCACCGGGGATGGTATTAAGCAAAGGGCAGCAAGAAAGAGATTGCTATTATTAACATTTGCAGAGCCCCGTCTCTCATCTCATGAGTGCATAATGACAGTTGTTCCACGTGGATGTGTCTTTCTCTCCCTCCGTTGAAATGAAAGGTGTCAATTGGATTGAGTCGGGCCACCTGAGGTGCGATTCTTTGTGTTTTGGGTGGTGTGATGGATGAAACTGAGAGAGAAGAGGGAACACAAGAGGGGAGGAAAATGAAAACAAGAGGTTTGGGAAGCCAGACACCTCCCAAGGCTGTGAACAATGGCCTCGTGCCCAGGATGCATCTGTGATCTTTTGGTTTTGATGCTTCTAGCCAGTATTGGAGGAAGTTGTGTGTTATGGAGTGTAACAGTGTTAAATAATATACTTAGTTCTGTGTGTCCTGTATGCGTTATTTTCCTTTGGCTTCTTGTTTTATAATTTCTTTAGGAATTAATACATGTAAATTATAAATTTTGTACAATTCTTGAAAAGTATTTTATTTTTTATATATATATATTGATATCACTATTGATTATTTTCTTTCTCTAATTTTGTTGTAAATTTTATGTAAAATATAAAAAATGAAATGCTCACTGATGCTCCAGAAGGAAAAACCATGCATAAAGAGCCAGGGGGTGAAAACTTTTTGAATTTGAAGATCAGGGTAAATTTAACTTTTGTCTTCTGGGAAACGTTTAACTATCTTCTGTAGCCTCTGAAGGGCAGTACTAAATGAAAAATATGATATTTAGGCAAAATAAGAAAAATGAACATCTCCATTTTGTTCAAAAGTTTTAATGCAGCTCTTAATGCATCGTTTTTCCTACTGGAGCATCAGTGAGTGTTTGAACCTTCTGTAATAGTTGCATATGAGTCCCTCAGTTGTCCTCAGTGTGAAAAGATGGATTGTTTGGATTGATGGTCATTGTTGGAAAGGGTTCAAATACACGAAAATGCTGGAAAACCTAAGAATTTGTGGGACCTGAAGGATTGTTCTGAAGAACAGCAGAACAAACAAGGGTCTCATGAACAACTATCACTAAACCAAAAAAAACACAGCTGTGGATCATTCAGGTAAGAATACAGTATTAAGAATCAAGAATGTAAACTTTTGAAAGGGGTCATTTTTATAAATTCAACTATTATTTTCTCTTGTGGGCTACATGTAAACATCTTTTATGTGAAATATCTTGTTTAGGTAAGTACAAAATAAGCAATAACATGCATTTTGTATGATCCCTCTTATTCTGGTAAAATAATTAACATTTTGCAGATTCTGAAAGGGGGAGGTAAACTTTTGACCTCAACTGCATATATATTTATATTAAAATATATTATATTTATATATTGGGTAACACTTTATTTCGATAGTCCACTTTAGACATTCTATTAACAGTAAGTAACTTTGCAACTACATGTCAACTAGCAGTTAGTAGAGTATTAGTGGACTATCTATAGAATGTCTAAAGTGGACTATCGAAATAAAGTGTAACCATATATTGTTTAGAATACATTTGTTAAACATTCTCTTTGCGTTCTGGCCATTTGTGGTAGACCAAAGCCTGAATGATTTTTATATTTCACAAATCATTGTTTGAGTTTGTACATTGCATTTATGCTCTAGGGAGGTTCAGATGTACTGTAAACAGATTTTGAAAAACTGCTTTTTGAAAAGTTTTTGGCCTGTAATGCATAAATATTTATAATTTTGCATAATGAAATGCATCTAATTCATATAAAGTTACAGCAGTTGATCTACATAGACAGAAATCTTTGAAGAAGTGCAGATGGCTTCCAGCTCCATCTACTAATAAGGTGTGTGTGTTTGTGAGAAAGCCCAGAAGCGCTTGGCTTGATTTACTCAGTATGACGTAGAGCCGGACTAAGATGAATTGAAGTTCTAGCCTGAGAGAAGTTGCTTATGCCATTGATCTTGAGCCTGAAGCCTCACTCATGTTCTGCTGAGAGGTGTTGCATTCAGCTGGCAGCCTCCTGAGATGCAATTCCACAGTCATCCCTCCCCAACGCTCTCTACGAGGAAGTACCAGGGTAGTCAATTGCCTCAGCAACCCCAGGGAGCCAACGCAGCAAGAGCAACGCTCCTGGCTCCATCCACCTCTGGGAGTATAATAATGAGCGCTTGCCATTGGCTTGCTTCAGTGCACAATTCCACACCAGAAGTTTTTTTTCTGTCTGACTCTTAAGCAGCATTATTGAGGAATCACGGGTAGGCAAGTTGCCATAAATGACTCATCTTTGCATGGTCTGCTTGGTCTTTTCAGTTTTGTTCTGAGTCAGAATCAGTCCAGTAATGGTGCTTCATGCGTTCAACTGGAATTAACTGAATAAATTGAAGTTTTTGAGTTTAAAAGACGAACGTGCATTTACCGTTCACCCTTTTTACACCTCAGGAACAGTTACCTTAGCACAAAAGTCCATCAATTAAAGCACATTATTCTCTCAGACCTGATAAAGAAGAAAGAAAGGAGTTATGGGAAGTAATGAACGCAGAAAGATTCTTTAATCACATTGAAACTCAGTCTTCCCTGCAAGTATTGTTTTCAAATGGCAGGAAAGTCTTCAAAAGAAGTATCCATCCTTACTGGTATCTTTTATTGCACAGCCAGCCCAAATGTGGGAACTTCAAAGTTCAAGTAACACTTACAACAGTGTAAGTAAAAGGAAATGACAAACTCCCCTACTGAAGATGTCTTTAGTCGACAGGCGACAAGTACCGCTTTCTCCTCTCTTCACACCCCTTGGAGCCTTCAAATACCTGTGCAATGTCATTATTTGCAACAGGCACATTAGGTGGAGAGCGGTGGTTTCTCCTGCCAGAGTTTCTGCCTTGTTGAGAAAGTAGGGCAGCTTTGAACTGCACAGAGTCGGAGGGAACGACCGTTTGATCTATTCCTCACCTTTCCAACAAAAGCAATGTCACGGAGGGGCAAATGGGATGTCAAGGGTAGTGCTCTGTGTCCCTGTTAGAGAGCTTGTTCAGTAGACTGCAAGTTGTCGGACGTTCTCCTTGTTTCTTTATTGTGTATTTGTAGCCTGTTAGCACAGATCTAGCTAGCAGAAATTGAGCTTCTTCATTGACCCATTCTGAGACCTCGTAAGATGTTTGAGCTCGTACTCTGTTCTGCATTAACGGCCACATGAATCAACTGTATGAATTATTTAATCTTTATTCAGTGAGAGTGAACTTGTGTATGATCTGATACATGCTCTTCATATCTTATACAAGCAACATAATCCACTCAAACATTTGAAAGAGTTCATATTTAAATAGAATCAGACCATCCAGGAGGATATCAAACATGTTTGATGTTTTGAGGAAATTTTAGAGCATGTATTGTATTAATTTGTCGCCCGTCACCAAGTCTTGTTTGTGATCTTCAGTCATCTGCTTAGATATTAAAAGTTGTGTAGTGTATTACAGCCTTAAGTTGTTCTTTTTAGTAATGTAATACTTGACTGTATGCGCTCAGCAGACCCATTGATTGACACTCACAGTGACGTGTCATAGAGCCAGTGGCCAATGGCTTCAGTTTATCTCCTCCATCAGCCTTTCAGGTTGCTTCAGTCACACATCAAACAAACTTTCTCCACAGCCACTGACTCCAGATCATTCGTCCATTGATTTCTGTACCTCCATCCGCCCATTGATTTTTGTAATGACTCCACACTGGGAGGCCCTAAACTAAACTGACATGGGCTAATGTAGCGTACATAGATACTGGATGTTGTGTTGTTCGCCCCTTGTCTAGTAGATAAAATAAATTAATATATGCATTATTGTCTCTTTCTTTATTTTTCTAGGATGGCTACTCGCAGTATCACTTTGTTGGCTCTGCCTCAACAATAGAGAGAGACAGACAGAGACCGTACTCATCCTCACGCACTCCGTCAGTATCTCCGGTCCGGACGTCCCCTAATAACCGATCAGGTGAGTATACGTGTTTATCTTTCTCAACAGTGTTAACTTACACATTTTGATCTGAAGTGCTGAAATAGAGAGTCGCTGTCCATGGTCCTGAAGTCCAAGATCTTCAGCCTGGATTTAAACCAATTACAAACAGCAGGTTGATTCTCTCTTTAACCCTGATAGAATCCTATTAAACTGATGGGGATTTCTCAGTGCGTCCTGGGAATCAGGGTTAATGATCCACACTACTGTTGGGGTTAGTGGATTCATGGCTGGCTGGTTGTGCCTCTAATACCTTTTCCGGTGGACTTAGCATCTCGCTGAAGCAGAAAAGTACTTTTCCCAGATTCAGAATTTGAGAGGACCGTTGGTGGTGGAGGCTGAGCAGCAGAAGTGGGAATTTTAGAGCTAATGGGTCTTTAAATGACTGGAATGACTTTAAATGACTAGAGTGATGAAATTAAGTTCTTTCTTCCTTAATGCAAAATTTAAGGTGTTATATTAAATTTTGTATTGAATTCCTTCCGAGGCCACTTCTGGTCTTATCTATGATGAATATATAGCCAGTGTTATCTTGCAGTTTTAATTTTATTTCCATGATGTAATATAATATTAGTGGTCGACCGATATTGTTTTTTATCCGATTAGAAAGCAGGGTTGCGATGATCGATATAAAGCATATACATATATGTATATATATGTATATATAATAGTGATATATATGTAATATATAATTTTTATTTAATTAATATTTAGGAAATCTGAAATCATTTGAAAATTAGATTAAAAAATGAATGTGTAAAATAAACATACTTTAGGTGACAACTTCTTGATTCTGTAATTCTATTACAGTATTTTTCACAAATAAATAAATATTTCAAAATACGTAAATAGAAAGAAAGTAAACACTGTAACCAGCAGGGCACTCAGTAATCTGGGAAGTTTGTGTGAATTAGGAATCATATTTTTTAAACTAAAGCAATATAATATAATAATATAATTTCATATTTTACCCATATTTTATTTTTTTACTGTATTTTATATTTTATAATAAAAATATAATAATAATAATATTCCCAAAAAAACAGAACCAGTCAGTAACAATATTGATTGTGACAAACCTTAACTACACAAAATAGAGTTTGGTTTAATTTTAACATGACTGAAAATAATTAGTTAATTCATGGATTCAGTAAAGGATTCATTAGGCCAATTTGGGGTGATTCATTAAAAGATTTAGGTCATAAGTGTCATTTCGTTCATTAATCGGATTAAACTAAAAATATTGTTTTTATACACAGACAGGAAGGTGCGTTATCTTTGCATTCAATTCAGGCTGCAAGCTCACGTCTCATGTAAAATGTAATTTATTTTGCCGTGACACTAGATTCAGTTGACTAGCGGTGTAGGAAATATGGCACAGAGCAGTGCTCACATGATTCAACATGCACTCTGCAGCTTTTTAGAATAAATTGATTTATTGTCTGCTTGTTTTTCTCAGTTGAATCTCTGATGTCTCCAGTCATCCTCTGGCTTGCAGCTGGTTTCATGCTGTTCTGTTGTCTGCAGGCTTTTCCTCTATGGTCTGAGCTCCAGTGTGTGTCATGAAAACGGTGAACGGTAGATTTTTGCCAGAGATCAAAGCACTCAGAGTTAGACGGAGAGAAGGAAGGTAGGGAAAGAGAGACAGTGGTGTGTCTAAGGTCTTGTAGGCGTACTGGAGAGTAGCTGCGCTCTTTGGCTCAGAGCATCAGAATGTGACAGCAGAGTCTTGCCTTTTCCTAAGATACATGTGAGCTCAAAGCCAAAATAATACAGCAAAATTGGCAATACTATGTAATTCATTCACTTCACAACTCTGCAATTATTTCTAATACCACGACCTTGCCATTTAGTTGCAGCATTAGAGACGTGTATTCACTGTGCGGAAAGATATTTATTTGTGTACTCATTATTGGCAAGTTCTGGCAACTTTTCTGAAACCGCTTTTTAAAAAAAGAACAAACAAGCATAGCACAAGAGTTTAATGCATTTTTAATTTCAAATTGAAGTAGCAAAAAGTGGTGCAACACGGCAGTATCAAATTTAAGGTAAGAAATGTATTTATTTATTTAGTATTTAAATTTTCAAAAATGTAAGAATTCAATTTTTGGGGTTTTTTTTTTTTTTTGCAATTATTTAAACTTGTTTAATATGCCATTGCTAAGAGCTACTCAACTTTGAAAAAGCTCAGGGGCCACAAAACAGGATTTTATTAGATTAATAATAGAATAATTTATTTTATTATAGACACAATCATATCATGATTTGATATAATATGATATTGTATGTGATATATTTTTACTATAAATCAACTTTAAGTTTTTATTTTATTTAGCTTTTTCATTTTTAATGATTCGCTAAATTAAATATTTAACAAATGAAAGGTACCTATTTTCTTGCTTTATTACTTTCTTTTTTCATTGGAACTTGATGGACTCATACCAACATGTAAGATTATTCATAACAAATGCATAAATCTGGCTGAAGTGCAAAAACAGCTTCACTTATAATGTAACACTTGTGTAAAAAATAAAATCAAAACCATAATAGATTATGATTGGATGAGCCACATTTGGCACCATTTTAAAATTAGCTGATATAACCTGCAGCACCTGCACAGTCTAATTCTGTATTAATGCACTCAGTTTTGCAACGTTACCTGGCAACCGTAAACGTATAGTTAGAGCAGACACCAGCAGAGAGTCGTGACACATCAAAAGTGAATCACTCCCATTATAATCTACTGATACACTGGAAGCGCTCATCTTTGAATTTACATCATGAAAGCATTCATCACACAGTTTGCAGAGAAGATTATGGTTTTGTGCTTGGTGCATGTGTGAATATATTTATGTAGAATAATAAAGTAGATAAATTCAACTAAAAAAAGCCATGCAAAATGCCTTAGTGTAAATCTTTTCATTTAAAAATGACAAAGCATCGCTGATCGTTTTCCTCATTTTTATTAATAGCAGCAGACCTCACATTAAAATTACACAGAGATCAATGTTTCTAAGGCAGTTGCTCATTTAAGTTGGAGCTTTGTCTGGTCAGTACATCCACATTAAGGATTTTGGCATGAACTTCAATGCAGGGTTGACACGTTTTTGCTCATATTTTGCTCACTTTTATAATTTAATCATGAAGCACGGAGGTAATGCTTCTAATGCCATCAGACAAGGCCTTCAGATATACTTTTATGGGATGCCAGACCCTAACAACACAACAGCCATGATATGGAGTTGCCAGCTATTACTGTATTACTGAGACACATTGAGGCCAGGGGACTCAGAGCTCTTTGTTCATTTTAATAAAGTGCAATTGAGTTCATTACTGGTGTTTAAAGGAATAGTTCACTCAAAAATGACAATTTACTCACCCTTTGGCCATGCAAGATGTAGTTGAGTTTGTTTCTTTATCGGGACAGATTTGAAGAAATGTAGCATTACATCACTTGCTCACTAATGGATTCTCTGCAGTGAATGGGTGCCGTCAGAATGAGAGTCCAAACAACTGATAAAAACATCACAGAAATCTACAAGTAATCCACATGACTCCAGTCCATCAGTTAACACCTTGTGAAGCAAAACTCTGTTTTTTTTGTTTTTTTTAAATCCATCAAGGAATTTTAACTTTATATCATCACTTCTGGTAAAAATGCCAGTCCATAAACCCTTATAACGTTTTTTACAGTGAAAAAGTTCATCCCCTCTTTGTCCTCTCACATCAAAGTCCACAGACATATTTGATTAGAACTGTTTGGGACTGCTTTTGCATGATCTGTGCATAATTCTCTCCTGATTCAGACAAGATGACTTTCACTGGAGAAAGCAATATTATGGATAGAGGACTCGTATTTTAGCTGAAGCAATGGTTTCAAGTTTTAATGATTGATTTTTTTCTTACAAGCATGCCGCTTTTAACTTCACAGGACGTTAATGACTGGACTGGAGTGGTGTGGATAACTTGTAGATTTCTGTGATGTTTTTAATCAGCTGTTTGAACTCTCGTTCTGATGGCACCCATTCACTGCAGAGGATCCATCGGTGAGCAAGAGATGTAATGCTAAAATTCTCTAAAACTGTTCTGATGAACAAACAAGCTCATCTACATCTTGGATGGCCAGTACATTTTCAGCAAATTTTCATTTTTGGGTGAACTATTCTTTTCGGTAGAAATATCAAATACACGTTGTGTCTTTAATGACCCAAAAGTGTGAGGAAGCAATCTGTAGATCACTTCAAATACAACTTATGATGTGGCTAAGACTGAACTGTTTGCCCTGACTGAGAGAGCATTTTATTGTCACAATTTAACATTTTTGAGAGAAAACGGAAAGTTGGCCTTCACACCTGAGGATTTATAGACATACAGATTGCTAATTTCCTTTTACAACCTATATAACATAGTTCACAGACATTTGATTTCAACAATAAATGGTTAATGTCATCAGGTTTCTAAGGAATTTACTTTCGTTCACGAGGAATTTATTGACAATAATGGTTGTTGTGTGTATTAGCTTGTATATCAGGACATATTTCTCACAGAATCGAGTCTTTTCAGTGCTGTAGGCAAGGAGATACACACAAGTTCAACAATAGTCGAGTGTTCCTCTCCTGATACCATTGGAGCTCAGACACAAAAGCCCTTTCACCAAATCCGGCTAAATCAGGAAGATCTGCTGTGTAGCACATCTCTTCACAATATCAATTTTTCCTATATGTCCTTAGAAAAATATTGTTTTCATTTTCTACCATTAAGGTCATCAACTCTTCGGTAGAGTTGCAGCTTTACCTGAAGAAAATCAAATCAGAAAGCACTGTACATTGAGTTAAATGCATTAGTAGTTTCTGCGAAACTGCTTTGTGTGTTTCTGAGAATCTGTATTCGTGAGGTTTATGGAAATATGACAGGAGCCTTTGAGAGTCTCATCGCTTGTTGACTCCGTAACCGCCCGAGCTCTTCGATATTTAAGACCG